AATGGATTGGATATTGACAAAAAAAAAAAAGTCTGTAATCAGGGCAGTCATGTGTGATGTCACGTAGTACTCGTCTACATCAAATATTTAGGCATGTACCTTGACCCGGCGTTTTATTTAAACTTTAAAGTTAAAATATTTGCACCAGAACTAAAAAAAAAAACTGCATTACTGCATCTCTACTAGTAACTATTTCACTAAAGTTTCACATCATACCATTAATTTGGAACATTCTGTACCTCAACAAGGATTAAAGTTGCCGCGTTATTTATAGAAGCCTCTAAAATCACTTGGGCACATACATATTTGGCGGACTCGACCCACTGCGGAGTAAAGCGGCGGGAGTGCAGGGGAGGCCTGGTGAGCCCGGCGCAGACAGGACGAGCTGCTGATATCGCGTTAAATCACATTATTCTGAGGGAGAGCTCCATTCAAAGAGAAACCTGTGTGAAGTCCGCCATCGCTAAATCCTACAGCGAAGACGTAAACGGACACTCACTAAACACGCTTTGATGGTTTAGAGCGGAGGGAGAGAGAGGGGGAGAGGGTGAAGGAGAGGGAGGAGAGAGAGAGAGAGAGCGAGACAGAGGAGAGAGAAGGGTGTGAGAGAGAAAAGAAGTGAGGAGGAGGCGAGAGAAAAAAAGAGAGAGGGGAGGAAGAGGGAACATGAGAGGGAAAGAGAGAGCGACAGAGGAGGAGGAGAGAGAGAAGAGAGAGAACTGAGGAGGAGGAGAGAAAGAATGGAGAGAGAGCAAGAAGAGAAAGAGGGACGTTGAGAGAGTAAGAGAAGGAGGTGGAGAGGAGGGAAGGGGAGAATAAAGAGGAGAGAGAGGAGGAGGGGACAAAGGAGAGAGAGAGAGAGAAAAAAAAAGAGAGTACTGAGAAGGAGGAGACAAAGAATGGAGAGAAAGCCGGGGGAGAGAGAGGAGAATGAGGGAAGATGAGAGAGAAAAAGAGAGAGGGGAGGAGAGAGAATAAAGGGAGGGGAGAATAAAGAGGAAGAGATGGGATGGTGGAGTGGACAGAGGAGAAAGAGAGAGAGAAGTGAGGAGGAGGAGGAGAGAAAAAATTGAGACAGCAGAGGGAGAGAAGGGAGGAAAAGGGAAGATGAGAGGGAAAGAGAGAGGGGGTGGCGGGAGAGAGAGCAGGAGGAGAGAGAGAAGGGCGGTGGAGGAGAGAGAAGATTGAGGAGAGAAAAGGGTGGGGCTGGGGGGAGAGAGGATAGAAAGAGAAAGAGAAGAGGGGTAGAAAGAGACAGAGCAAGGGGGAGAGAGGGGAGAAAGAGGGAAGATGAGAGGATGGAGGAGCAGGAGGAGAGAGAGAAGGGTGGTGGAGGAGAGAGAGAATAGAAAGAGAGGGAGGAGAGAGAGAGGAGAGAGGGGAGGGGAGGAGAGAGAAGATAAAAAGAGAGAGGGCGAGTGGGAGAGAGGGAACAAAGAGGAGAGATGAGAGGGAAAGAGAGAAACAGAGGAGGAGAGAGAGAGAGCAGGAGGAGAGAGAGAAGGGCAGTGGAGGAGAGAGAGAATAGAAAGAGAGGGAGGAGAGAGACAGGAGAAAGGAGGCGGAGGAGAGAGGATAGAAAGACAGAGAGCAGGTGAGAAAGAGGGAAGATGAGAGGGAAGAGAGAGAGAGAGAGAAGAGATGAGAGGACGACAGAGAAAGAAGAATTCTCCCCAGACATTCTCCCCAACATTAATCAGAAACTTTGAATTTGATTTTTGATTTCCGGCTCATTTTGTACCCAGCCCTGAAGTCCACAAGGTCGGAGATGACTCGAAGAAAGGACAGAAGAGAAGAGAGGAAAGAAAAGAGGAGAAGAGAAAAGAGGAGGAGGTAAGAGACGCGAGGAGGGGAGCGAGGATCTGCGGTGGTCACGGTAAAGACAGTTTTTGTTTTTCGGTTTGTGCGACGCATCACCTCTTCAGAGCTGCTGCCTCAGCCCCGTCTCACCTCCAGCTGTCTGTCTGCCACGTCCACAGAGCTCTACGTCCTACACTAGCCCCGTTACCATGGCGATTAACTATTCTAAACAACAGACTGTATTTTAAAGGGCAAAAGTCCCCAAAATGTCGCCTATAAACAGCTGAAACTGCAAGGACGCAGCAGGACAGAGATAAGAGAAGAGAAAGAGAGACAGAGAGAGAGAGAGAGAGGGAAATAGAGAGAGAGAGAGAAAGAGAGAGACACACAGAGACACACACACAGAGGGAAATAGAGAGAGAGAGAGCAGGGAAGAGAGAGAAAAAAGGATGAGGTGAAAGTAGGGGAGAAGTAAAAAGAGAGAAAGACAGATACGTCACAGCAGGACAGAGATAAGCAGAGATAGAGAGAGACAGACGGAGGTGTACAGAGAGAGAGAGGAAAGCAGAGAGAGAGAGAGAGACAGACGGAGAGAGTACAGAGAGAGAAAGAGACAGAGAGAAGAGAGAGACAGAGAGACGAGAGTGTACAGAGAGAGAAAGCAGAGAGAGAGAGAGAGACAGACGGAGGTGTACAGAGAGAGGAAAGCAGAGAGAGAGAGAGAGACAGACGGAGGTGTACAGAGAGAGGAAAGCAGAGAGAGAGAGAGAGACAGAGACGGAGGTGTACAGAGAGAGAGAGAAAGCAGAGAGAGAGAGAGAGAGACAGACGGAGGTGTACAGAGAGAGGAAAGCAGAGAGAGAGAGAGACAGACGGAGGTGTACAGAGAGAGGAAAGCAGAGAGAGAGGGAGACAGACGGAGGTGTACAGAGAGAGGAAAGCAGAGAGAGAGAGAGACAGACGGAGGTGTACAGAGAGAGGAAAGCAGAGAGAGAGAGAGACAGACGGAGGTGTACAGAGAGAGGAAAGCAGAGAGAGAGAGAGACAGACGGAGGTGTACAGAGAGAGGAAGCAGAGAGAGAGAGAGAGAGAGACAGACGGAGGTGTACAGAGAGAGGAAAGCAGAGAGAGAGAGACAGACGGAGGTGTACAGAGAGAGGAAAGCAGAGAGAGAGAGAGACAGACGGAGGTGTACAGAGAGAGGAAAGCAGAGAGAGAGAGGAGAGACAGACGGAGGTGTACAGAGAGAGAAAGCAGAGAGAGAGAGAGGAGAGACAGACGGAGGTGTACAGAGAGAGGAAAGCAGAGAGAGAGAGGAGAGACAGACGGAGGTGTACAGAGAGAGGAAAAGCAGAGAGAGAGAGAGAGACAGACGGAGGTGTACAGAGAGAGGAAAGCAGAGAGAGAGAGAGAGAGACAGACGGAGGTGTACAGAGAGAGGAAAGCAGAAGAGAGAGAGAGACAGACGGAGGTGTACAGAGAGAGGAAAGCAGAGAGAGAGGGAGACAGACGGAGGTGTACAGAGAGAGGAAAGCAGAGAGAGAGGGAGACAGACGGAGGTGTACAGAGAGAGGAAAGCAGAGAGAGAGGGAGAGAGAGGGAAAGTTTGTTTTTCAGCTTGTGGGATGCATCACTTCCTCTGAGCTGCTGCGTGTGGTCTCACCTCCAACAGTCTGTCTGCCAAAGAGCTCTGCACACATACAGCCTATGTCCTCTTTTAGCACTGTTACCATGACGATTAACAATTCTAAACAATGTATTGTATTTGAAACAGGCAAAAGTCCTCAAAATGTCGCCTATAAACAGGAAGCTGAAACTTATGGGTGCAAGGTCACAGCAGGACAGAGATAAGAGAAGAGAAAGAGAGACACAGAGAGAGAGAAAGAATGAGAGAGGGAAACAGAGAGACAGAGAGAGACAAATAAAGAAGAGAAAGTGAGAGAGACAAATAATGAGAGGAAAAGAGAGACAAATAATGAGAGAAAGAGAGAGACAAATAAAAAGAGAAAGAGAGACAAATGAGAGAGACAGAGTGAGACAGAGAGAAAGAGAGAGACAAATAATGAGAGAAAGGGAAACACAAAGAATGAGAGCAAAAGAGAAAGAGAGAAAGAAAGAGAAAGAGAGAAACAAATAATGAGAAAGAAAGAGAGAAACAAACAATGAAAGAAAGGGAGAGATAAAGAATGAGAGAGTGCGAGAGAGAGAGAGAGGGACAAAGAAAGAGAGAGAAAGAGACACACAGAGAGAGGGAAACAGAGAAAGAGTGACAAAGAATGAGAGCGAGAGAAAGAAAGAGAGACACAGAGAGAGAGAGGGAAATAGAGAAAGAGAATTGAAGAGAGAGAAGTTGGGGGGTAAAGGGAAAGAATGGAGGTGAAGTTGGAGGAGAAGTAAGAAGAGAGAAAGAAAGACAAAGATAGAGCGGGAAGCAGAGAGAGAGAAAGAGAAGGAGAGAGAGTAGAAGAGAGAAAAGTGAGGAGGGGGAGAGGGAAAGAACGGCGTGAGGGCGTGTGAGGAGGAGGAGGAGACAGAGAGAGAAAGACAGCCAGAGAAGGTCACAGCAGGACAGAGATAAGAGAAGAGAAAGAAAGAAGGAATGGGGAGAGGACCGTGGGAGACGCAGAGAGAAAGAGATAGCGAGCGAAAAGAGAATGACAGAGAGAGTAAGTGAGAAAGAAAAAGAGAGACAGACAGAGAAAAAGAGGGCAAGAGAGCGACGCGTGAGAGAGGGGGAAAAACTTTAGACGTTTTGGAATAAGTTTTGTGCAAAATCGCATCATTATCACAAGATTTGACTTTTCAAACTCACACGGCTCCATCGTCTAATTATAGAAACATCTCGACGGCTTCTGTGATTGGCTAAAGTCCGTCCTCTTCCCGAACAATATCGACAGGAGCCATTCCAGACGGATATAACAGAGCTAACCTCATTAACTGTAATAACAATCTGACTTTACCCAGGTTAGCGTTCATAAAAATCTGACGCTCTGTGGCTCAACTTAGATTGGCAAAACATCCTTGTCAAAGCCTGATCTTATCCACAGTGCGTCACCGGGGTCGTTGTGTCCTTAGGCAAGACACTTCACCCAGTGTTTGGTGTTTGCAGGAGGCCCCGGTATCTAAAGCGAATAAATAATGCACGAACTTGTAGAGTCTAAAACCGTGGAGTCCAGGTTTGCGTCACTTCTGAAGCGTACCTCGTGTATGAAGTCTCCGATGTCCCCGGGGTGGGGGGCCGCCGAGCGCATGGGGTACTGGTGGTCGTGGTGCAGGGGCCTCTCGTCCAGTCGTCTGATCCCCACCTTCACGCAGTCCGGCTCCAGAGCGTCCGGCTGCTGCAGCTGGCTCAGGTCGTAGTCCTGACAAACAGCACACAAACGGAAGAGCGGAGCTAGAAAAAGATCTCACTGCATTTTCATTTAGAAGTGGGATTTGGGCTTCTAGATACAGAATTGGTGGAAATCAGAAATAGTTCAACATTTTTTGGGCCCATATTTCGCTATTTTTGATCTATGTTCTAATGTTGTTTCCTCATCACAAACAGACCTGGAGTTGTTTCTTGTTTCATTCACACATAACACATTAATCCTGCATATTTAGGCTGAGTTATTCTCTCAAACTGAAAACACTAGAATCATTTGGATGGCCTGGAATTGCTAATAAGTAAATCTCTAATAAATAAAAGTAAATGGTAGATGAAGATAAAGAGGTAGATCGCTTCACTGGGTCATAAAAGAGTAAAAAATAGTACAGTGCTCTACAAGGGTTAAAACAGAAGTCTTTAAACAGAAAGTTACCCTTACTGGAAAATGTAAAAGTGGGCAAGTGGTGACCGCTTTGCCCTGACGAAGAATCATTTTGCTGGTTCGAAATGTGTTGGCATCCCTTCATGCAATAAAGGACTTTCAGTATATTCAGTCGAAGTGCCTCGGGTTTGTACCTTGTCCACTTTTACATTTCCCAGTAAGGGTAACTTTCTGTTTAAAAGGTAAAAGGTAGCTGTTAACTCAAAAACAACAGCTTCATCCTAATAGTAAAGGATTCCTCAAACATGTGAAACTAAACTCCAGGTATATTTTTGATGAGGTCAAAATATTATAACATGGCTTAAAGCTTTAAGAACCTATAAGTACTGCAACTGTAACCTGATTTGCAATTTGGGCTTCTAAATAGAGATTTGGAGGAAACCAGAAATAGTTTTAAAAAATAAATAAAATTGCTGACTTTTTTTCCTCTTTTTAAAAAAATAAATTGTCTTTTGAGATGTATTTTAGAGTGAACAGAACATAGTAAAAGAAAAATTGAATTCTATCAACTGGACAGAAGTTTTAGAGTGAAGCTGTTTCGCTACACAATTTTGACATTCAGTTCAGTATTGTTTTTTTTTTTCCCCTTAACTTGTCCAGAAGCATCAACATCTGAGAGAAGCCTGAAATATGAACTGCTATAATAATAATACAAGATTCACAAGATTTTTTTCAGAATAGATTCCAGCTTCCTAATCATGTTTTTTTCATATCGGTCATTAAGGCTGAGTATCATTAAGAAGTTGCCGATACGATACATACCTCGATATAGTTATCTTATGATTCGATACGATTCAATACGATATATTTCAATTCGATTCGATACGGTTGTGATACTAAAAGTCTTTATTAAACCACTTCTTGAGCAAATGTAAGTATGAATTTTAATTTTAATCATCAAAACTGTGAAAAATATCAAATGTGTTGAATAAATGAGTTTACTTCCTCTAAACAAGCAACAAAACTGTAGCTCTACAACAAAATAATTTAGTAAAATATACCAAAAAATACTCTTGGCGATATATCGATGCAGCAGCCCATGGTATCATCACATTAAATGATACGATATACCAATATTTTGATATTTTTGCACACTTCAATTAGTCATTCAAAAGCTAGTGTCATTTATATCCGAAATTGTAGAGTAAAGAGATGATTAGTGATACGACACATGTAAAAGTTAAGTCCTTGGGCAGTTGCGTCTGTTTCTGAGTTTTGGGGCTATTTGCATATCTGTTAAAATACAAAGGCTGGTTGTTCTTTCTCATTTAGATCCAGACACAATGTGAGGAGACTCAGAATGTAAATGTGGAATGTAATGGAGCATTTCATGTAAAAGTCGCCCTCTTGTAATGAACTACATTTGTTAATGAAATTGGACAAAGCACTTTTCCTTATTCTAGTTTCAAATTAGTTTTTTTTTTTTTTTTCAATTCTTTCTTTGCTTAAAGCCAAACTTTATTGTTGTAAATGAGTAAAGTTTTTGTGTTTTCCACCATACACTATATTGTAAAAGACCACTGCCCCTTCTGTATCTATAAGAAAGTAATTACAAAAGTTTAAGTAAGCGTAGTAAAAGGTCTTTATTACACAAAATTGACTCTTGTGAGCTTTAAGTCATGTTATAATGTTGTTACCTCATCAAAAACATACCTGGAGTTCTGTTTTGTTTCATTCACAGATGTTTGAGTAACTCTTTATTATTAGTCTGTCTACATTTCCAAAGCTTAAAATGCTCTGTTACACCTTATGATGTCATGTAGTGGTAGTTTTCATATTAACATCTACTTTTTACCTTTTGTTTCGTAGAGATTGGCAATCACCCAAATGATTCTAGTAAAGGTGCAAGGAGTTTAAAACACGATGGAACAATTCCTGTATTACCGTAAGATACAATACAGCATTTTCTGTTTGAGAAGTCTAAGCCAAAATATGCAGGGTTAAACAAAACAAAATGCCAGGCATGTTCGCGATGAGGAAATAACATTATAACAGATTAGAAAACAGTGTAATATTGGTATGTGTGTAAAATCCCTCAGTCGTCCAGGTAGAATCCTTGGCAAAAGAAGAAATTAAATTTGTCAACTGGACAAAAGTTTATTTTGGTCCTTAAACAGAAATGGAGGACTCAGACACCATCTGTCTCCTGTTTACAGCTCCATCCTCAAACCTAAATCAAAACAAAGAAAACAATAGTGATGGCCAGGCCAGGCCCAGAGGTTTGAAAGCACTATTATGGCCCCGAAAGATTCTACTAATATGACCACACACTCAGTTCAATAGGCCTAACTAACTAACTAACTAACTAACTAACAGAAACTGTAAATAAGCAGGTGTGTTAGTTTCAGAGTAGTTTCATTGTAGTTAGCTCCTCCCTTCAGACAGATAAAAGGCAGTGTTCACCAGCTTCTAACCAGCACTGAAGAAGCAGCTTGGATGAGCTGCGAAACGTATTCCACCAAAATAAACTTTTGTCCAGTTGACGAATTGAATTTCTTCTTTTGCCAAGTTATATGGGTAAAATGAACAGGACCCCGCCCACTGACAAAGCCCCAGCCAATCAGAGGTCTTTTCATATAATTTCCTTCCACTGCTCAGTCATTTTTCCCCCGGCTTGGATTAAGAAAACTACAAAAGAGGAGCTGCAGACAGGATTCAGTGTTTTCTGTGTGACAGACAATACTCCAAGTTAAGCATGTACTGTTTTTTTTTTTTTTTTACCCATCCTTAAATACCTATTGTATATAAACCACAGTCTGTATACATAAATGGACACTGGCGCATCCGACTCCATCGACTCTGGCTCCAGTTGACTTTACACTGAAAAACTGTCTCCCCTCTCTCTGTAACTGCTGATGTGAGTCTCGTCTTTTTGGTCTTAAAATGTTCATATTAACTCGCTCTACATGATCCTGGTGTTTTTATTTTGCTATTTTGTCTGTAAATAAATATTAATATGAAACTGGCTCCAAACTCGCCAGCCTCGGTGAGCTTCATTTGACTGGAGCTGAACGCTATTGGCGACGTCACACTCCCTTAGTCCACTTCTTAATACAGTCTATGTTCTAAACGAGACTCAAAGCAAATGTTTAGGAATAATAAAAAGTACAATTAAGCTTAACAGCGCCCATAAGAGAAAAAAAAAAATCTTGAGTGAATGAATCTTATAATTATTTTTTAATTATTATGTCAGAATTAATGTGTCAGACTTCTTGTGCTTTAAATATATGCAGTGAATTAAAATCTTGTCACATTCTCAGTAAGGTTGGTGACATATTTTGCATCGTTTCTGCCTGTGTGAAATTCCACTTTAGATTATTAGCACAGTTGAGTTTCTAGAGTACTTCTTCACACAAGATTATTGATTCTTTGCAGTAATATCACGCTGGGGGTGTTCTACGTGTATCTCAACACAATGCATACATTAGTCAACACTGTCAAAAAAGGTTTAATTTAATCTGAAAACTCAAGAAATAAAACAAAATGGATTTACGAGTGTTCACGGTTCAAGGTTTAACAACAAAAAATAATCTCATATGTTGTAGTTCCAGCTAAATCAGTTCTTTCAGGTCAGATTGTGTTAAAATAAAGCTGATATTAAAGTCTAATAAAGCCTCAGACACAGCAGCGCCTACGGTTATCATCACACCAGATGACCAGATTTACAAAAGCAAAAACTGGGACACTCAGTTTGTGGTGGTTGGTAATAATAAAATTGTGAAACAAGTGCATAATTAAGGAAAACTGTTCAGCACTCGGTCCATTCATGACTAAAATGTGAGTCAGTATAGTCACATTTTCTTTGTGTGTGTGTGTTTTGGTCATTTTTAAGCTACTTGGCTGGTAGCAGATTGGTGAAAAATAGGGACACCAGGGACATTTCTTGTGTAAAACTGAGACAAATCACTGGTTTTGGATAAATCTGCTGGGACAGGGGTTTAAAACTGAGATTGTTCCGAGTAAATATCTGATCATCCTACATCATACGCCCAAGGAACGTTGACGATACCAGCTGCAAAGTATGAATAATGTAGTAAAGTATATCATTTTTTGTTTGTTTTGAGAGCAGTTTTCTCTTTTATCTCCTTGCGTATCTCTTCATTGTAAAAGCTGTAACAATGGTAGTGACTCTAGTTTATATTCAGTGTTTATAGTTGCGACGGATAAAATTACGAATAGTTGTATAGCGCAGCTTGAAGAGGCAATTGCTCTGCTTCAAATTACACGGCTAATGGCATAAAAGTCCCCCGGGACCAGCCAGAGATCTTAATAACACGGGAACAGATAAAATCATAAATTAATCTCTACATAATTTAAAACATAGGCCCGCCTGTTTTACTGCTTCTTAATCCGCTTTCATCCCCATTAGCATATTCTTATTTGCTGTAACAATAAACATGTACAAATCTCGCTGTTCTGTTGTTCTTAATAGTCGAAAATCTGCAAAATGGTGTCCAGGATTGGAATAAGACGTGCAAATAAACCCCATGAAAAGCCTCAGATGAAATAATGAAGCTTCAAGTGGAAGAGCGTCCGGTATAAAATCATACATTTCAAAGCTTTTTTTGCAAGTAGGGATCCAAATTTTTAAATGGTAAGTTGATGTGTGATATCTCGCTCATATTTACTTTAATTTTCTAAAGGTATATCTGCTATGGCTTTGATTATAAGAAGTTAGTAGGCTTGTTGACTAACTGCAGGTTGAGATCATTACTTCTTCCTCCAAATTCATAGACGTACATATTCGTTATTATTAAAAACAATTATTCTTTCAAGAGACTCTGTTCACGTTTACGTCACAAACCAGGAAGACATTTGGAAACTTGCGATGGGGTTCGGGCTCTGTTCTCTGTAGTAAGTCTGACAAAATCTAGAAAAAATGAGAAAATGTCCCACTTTTCTTCATCTAAATGTCATTGTAGCGGCTCAGTTTTCATCATTTCCCCACTGACGCACGACTCCGAGCAGACTGGGTACATGTGATTAGAAGAAATTCAAGATTATTCCAAACAGCACATATGTTTGCAGTCTTCATTTTACTGTTGATTACATTTACTTCAGTGGGTTTTATCACAGTCGGTTGATGAGCCCATTGTCGGTAACTCCACTGGAAGTTGTCATCGTATCTTTCCAAATTTCTTCCCGGTTTGTGACGTAAGCGTGAATAGAGCCTATTAGTCAAATAGAAAAGGAGAGAAATCAGTTTGTTGACTGGTTTGTCCAGTCAACAAACTGATTTCTCTCCTTTGCCATGGATTCTACCTGGACAACTGAGGGATTTTTCACACCTATTAGTCAAGTAGTCGAGCAAAACTTTTTGTATACATTTTAAATCAAATGAAAAAAACATATATATAGATGGTTTCTAGAAAGAGAATGGGTGGAAATCATTTGACATTTTAATTTGAGAAACTAACGTCACTAAAACATCAACACCCACCGCTACATCTGTCACAATAACCAACACAAGCCCTGATGAAGCAACCTGGCTGGGAGCAAAACATCAGCTTCAAAAATGTAAGTAAACAGTAAGTCCAGTTGGTTTTTGATAATACAGTATTTTATTCCTTGATGTGTCAAAATCTGCATCAATCGACATTTTGATTTATATATGTAGTATGAAGCAACAGTATTATTTTTGTTTTCTTTTAGTAAAACATCTTTTGGCACACTGCAAAAAACAATATCTAGGTAAGTTAAAATGACCTAAATTAAGGATATTTTACTTTATTTGAGTAGATTCAACTTGACAAGTAAAATTATCTACCAATGGAACAAGTGTGTTTTTCTTAATTCAAGTAACACTGGATTTTGTTTCTTATTTTAAGTGGAAAGATGTGGGGAAGCTGGCCCGACGTGGTCAAAGTAGGAGGCGGACGACAACAAATTTATTTTAAAACAGACTTCTGGAGTTAACCAGTGGCTCAACATTATAGAAGAAATATATTCCATGGAACGACTGACTTTTTTTCTACGTCTCAAAAGACATTTCTTCATTAAACACTGAACAAAATGGTTGAAATATAAACAAAAAGAGACTTGAGACTGTATCCTTACAACAACGGAACACTGCCCCAGGTTTTTGTTTTTATGTTTTTGTATTTATTTGTTTGTTTCTCAAAACTTGAAAAACTCAATAAATAAAAAGTATTTAAAAAAAACCCAAAAAACCAAAAAAACAGACTTCTGGAGTTAACACAAAAAAAGTACCGATAAAAAGAAAATAAGTAACTCAAATCAAAAGCACCAAACAATCTGCACAGAAGTCTCTCTAACTGATGACACCTGCTTTGCTTTTATTCCCCGTCCAGCAGGAAGTACCTCCCCCAGGTGAGGATCAGTTCCAGGACTCTTTTCAAAGCAAAGCAAGGATTTCTTTTCCTAGGCCCAAGTCCCCTTTAAAAATAAAAATGCTTAACACAAACTAATGTGAATTTAAAATAGGACAAAGGCCTACTTTGTCACAAAAGAGTTGTCGTTTTTCTTATCTAAAGTGTAGCAAGATGGATTTTCATAATTTAAGCACAAAAAGTCTTGTTCCATTGATAGATAATTTTAAGAAAAATGTATTCAAATCATGATAAAACTCTCTTAATGCAAGTAATCTTAACTTGGCTAGATTGTACTTTTCGCAGTGCATGTGTTTTGGAGTGAACAGATCAGATAATGCCTCATACCTGGTCCTCCTCTCCGCCGCCCTCTTCGTCGTACTTCAGTATATTATCCCTCACGTCGTCTTCGGGGTCGATCAGGAGCTGCTTGGCCTGCCTCTCCTTGTCTCGCCTCTTCATCCACATGACGAAGACCAGCACCAGCACTGCGTCGTGGGAAAAGAGATAAGAGGAGACCGTTTTAAAGTGTGCGAAAAAAGAGAGGACGCTCCGGGCTAACGCTAACCGCCAAACGCCACCGCTCCTGCATATGTAACACACATATCGCAGATCCACACGGCCCCCCCGATTCTCCACGCGTACGCCATTTGCATACAAGTCTAAATTTGGCGGGATAAGCTTCGGGGACAGTGGTTACCAAACAGTGAGTGAAGGTGAGGACACAACATCATGGGTCGGGTTAGGGGCTTTGAAATGCAAACGGCGTGGACAGTGTGTAAATATATCAGCTAAATGTGATTGGACAGCGTTGAAATTGAGATTAGACGGCACTCATGGAATAATTATGTCTTAAAATACATCTTATATTACGCTTAATTGTCTCTTGTGAGCTGTAAGTCTTGTTAGAATGTTATCTCCTTAAAAACATACGATGAGTTGTGTTTTGTTTCATACATGTTTGAGTCATCCTGCATTATTAGTATGTGTATATCTCTGAAGTTCAACATGCTCTGTTCTACATGGTGATGTCATGCAGTGGCGGTTGTATGGAAGCCCATTTCTGCCAGTAAATAACAAATAAAAGACTCACAGGAAGTCATAATTATGAGTTTAAAAGTCATAATTACGAGTTTTTGAAGCTGACTCTGAACCTGCTCACATCAAGCAAGAAGGCTGCAGAACCCATGTATGAACCTAGCCTGATTCATCAGACGGTTTCACTTCGTAGAAACCATCTGACCTCGCTTGACGGTGGGCGGGTACTTTTTATCATTTAACCAATCGCTGCTATTTGGTCGTGATGTTTGTAATGCGCCACTGACAAGGCTATGTTTATGTTTTTTATGTTTATTTATTTAATGAGACAGGAACAGTGCACAATATACATTAACCTTAACAGGAGAGATGCATTGTACCAGGTTACAGCACCAGTGCTAATTTCCACCTGTAGTCCCTGGGCAGGTTGATGTTATAGTTCATAAAATCAAACATCCAAAGAGAATGTCTTTGTAATGTCCAGAGCATCATAACAATTCTGTATCATCATTCACCCCCAGTTTTCTCAGCATATTAAAAACTAACTGGTGTATTAAGCTTTTCCCAAATCCCGTAGGAAGAATGGCAATAATGTCTTTCCTCTTGATGAAATTCACCAAACATTCTCTTTGTTCTGGCTTTAAATCCTCGATCTATGGAGTCGTTGACAACACTGAATATACAGCTCTTTGCTGATTGGCTGGTGCCCGAACTTGCACTTTCAGGGTTTTTGCAAACTGTCTATTGTATTTTGATTCCTGACCTAGTCGCTGGAGAGAAATTAAATTGAGCAGAGGCACTAGGTGGCACCGGCCTGGCTAGTATGAACCCACCACAAGTAAAAATGTGTAGTTATTTTACTAATTCACTTCACACTGTATCTAAATTATTTGCTATGTGCCCACATTTTGATCACTGAACAACTCGAAGTAGCTTGTGCCAAGTGCCCAGCAAAGCTCATCAATTCCTGGCCAGGGTCAGGAGACGGGGTGAACCGCAGAGCCAAAGGTGCTTCATCCCCTGGTTGGACTAAACCAGCTACCATGGACAGAGTAACATAGATTGACACTTTGCACCTTCTCTTTCATGTGGGATTTGTGTGGGTATCTCTCTTTCTTGTCTTTTTATAACATTCACAAATTAACAAGGAAACTGAGTTGTTTGGGGATGTCTTGAGCTCCTAGAGAAGGGTGTCACACTCACATTTACACAGGGCCAAAATTAAAAACTGGGACTAAGTCATGGGCCAAACTAAATATTTATAGAAAAGTTTCAGTAGCATCTGCATGTTTGGCCCCCAGGCCTGAGTTTGACATGTCCGTCCTAGAGGATGGCCTCTCCAGGAAAATGACTGTATGCTTGCATTACAAGGACAGATTCAGAGTCAACTTTAAAACTCATAATGATAAATGATTCAAATTATTCTAGTGAAGGGGTGTGGAGTTTGAAAACTTCTATATAACCACATGACATCACTAACTAGCACAGAGTGTTTTCTGTTTGAGAGAAGAACTGTTTTGGATTTGAAATAAAACACAACTCCAGGTTTGTTTTTGATGAAGAAACAACATTATAACACTGATCAGAAAACAGGATAACATGGGCCCGTTTACATTTTAGAAACCAAAAAGTCTTGCCTTGTATTTGCAATTTTTTATTTATTTTTTTAAATTTTGGTGAAGTTTATAATTTTACTTCCTGACTAGCAATAAGTAGCAAATATGACACTACATAAATGTATGCTACCTGTACAATAACTCATACTTATGTCACGAAAACCATACGTCCTGTCAATCATAATATCATTGTTGCACTAGTTTTCTTTATGACCTCTTGTATATAGCTGTGATTTTATATTTTATTACTTATCTTTCTATTTTATTTTGACTTGTACATTTTCATTTATATAATTATGTCTTATTTGACACCCGTCTCTTGCTCTTTTTTGCTACTTTTTTTTTAGAATATATTATTACCATTTATATTTTTGCTCTTTGTTATTATATTATATTGTGATGTGTGAGCTACTGTGTCCAAATAATTTCGTGGTGGATCAATAAAGTTTGTCTAGGTCTAAGTCTAAATGCATTTAAATAATTACACAACAGCAACAATTAATTAACAATTAACAAGAGAATTAATGATGACATTAGTTTTGTTAAATCAATGTTTAAATTGTTATAACACGGCCTTTCTCGTGAATAAATTGCCTCTGCATTTTGAACAGAACTGATGACAACTGATCACATAATTAGACAGAGGAATTCTGTTTGAAAACTCGCTGCTCCTGTGTGTGTTTTCCAACTTTTAAGATATATTAATCAGTCAAATGCACTTTTATGTAAAACAGGTCAAATTCTTGAGTCTAAATGAGTCCTTCACCTTTATAAAACGCATACATTAGCTCAAATATCTCACAGCACTTGAGAGATGCATTAAAAGGTAAGGGTTTAATGAAATTTCAAACTGCACTTCTGTTCATTTATTTCTCTCATTTTCACAGTTGGGATTAGATTAAATATAAATGGCTACACTAATACAAGAATCAGACGCATTTCGGAGCAGAAGTCTTAACTATCGGAATACAGATTGAACACGTAATTGGACCCGATGGAGACAAGATGTACAAAAAGATCTTGTCAATTTCCAGAAGACATTTTACAACCTAAATGATGTGAGTTGGTCTCTGCAGCTATTCAAATTGTGATTTTGAGTTTGTCATGTAATAAAGTCAAATCTGTTTTTGCCTCACTATAGATATTAGGGACGCAAAGATCCGATACTGGTATCTGATATCGGAAACATTTGACAATATCCTGATTGGACATAAAAATTGATATAAAAGACTAATACTGGTCATAGTTGGCCCAGAAAATCTCATAATGTTTGAACTTTTATTTATACAATAGTGGAAGGTAAAGTACAAAAGTAAAAGTACAATATGTAAGTAAAATATCTGTACTTTATCTAAGTATTTTTTTTATAATGGACACTTTTATTTTTACTTCACTACATTTGAGATCTGGACTAAAAAGTAAAAGGTACTTTTCTTTATGGTTTGAGACCTGCTGAGACTTATTTTTAGCACATTTAATTTGAGTTAATGTATCGACTTCGATCAAACCAAATGCACGAAAACACAAAAACAGCTAGAAACATTAAAAAAATCAAATGAATCACTTAAAATCAGCCAAATTCTTCATCAAAATCATTACATTTGATGCTTTAATTGTTCAAAAAATCTCTACAAAATACTTTTACTTTTTACTCTTAAAGCATTTCAATAGCATTACTTAAATAGATTTTCTTTATGTGATACTTTTAGTTTTGATAGTTTTGTGAGTTTTAGTTTTTACTTGAGTAATCGATGCTCCTGTACTTTTACTTAATGTAACAAAATTGAGTACTTTATCCACCACTGTATTTATACAAAACTGTTCTGTAGTTACTTGAGATATAAATAAAACATTTAGATCTGTACTGTCTTAACAGGAATACTGGAAAATCATCTGACATGTGCAGTCTAAAACTAAGTATAAACTGTTTTATCTTCTACAAACCAGGAAGTAATGCTTATGCGCTGTTAGCATGCTAGTTGTTGTTGCTAAGAAAGCATAAGCAAAGTGAGGAATAGCCACTACAGACCACTTAAAATGAACTACTTCTATTTTTCACATTTTTAAGACAGTAAAATCTCAGCACTTCATCATGACCACTTTATTTAACAAAACCAAATGGTACACAATCAATTATGCAACACATTTGTAAATTAGTGAATCTTTTTTTGGCATTTTGTTATTATTTGTGTGAGTGAGTTGATGTGAAGTGCTTTGTTTTTGCCAATGACAAGCACAGAAGTGAGGAGAGACTAAGCGAGGACAATGTAGACCCAGGAGAGGCTCTGTGAAAAATGCTCTGTCAGAGCTCGGGTGTGAGTGGAGCTGTACACAGACACTGCAGTTAGTCAATTGATAAAGGGAGGAGATGACCCAAGAACACTGAAATAAAACATAGTAGCGTTACTTCAAAATAATATTACTCAAGTAGAAGTACAAAGAAGTGGGCCAAGGTATTACTCAAATAAGATTAAGAGCTGTCGTAACATCTGATTTATAATTTGAGGTTATTGCAATTTGAAGGAATAATGAACAAAACCTGGTATTTTCAAAGGAAGACACAAAAAAATGAAAAAAAAAAAAAAAATCATCATTATATCTAAAGGAGCGGTGCAAGAAACACAAATGTTCAAATCATTTCATTTTGTCACTTGTAAACTTACTCACAGTGTGAAGAAGAACCAACATTTTTACTCAAGTAAGAGTACTGTTACATCAGTAAACATATATATTACTCAGACTTTAGGAATAAAAATGCTGCTAGGAAAATTCTCTTTTTCCTTCTCACAATTCACAATTTCTTACTCAAGTAAATCAGTAAATATAGTAAGTTA